GCCGCCCAAGGCTCAGGCCGGGGCCGGGGCCAAGAGCCGACCCAAGAAGAGAGAGGGCGTCCACCTGCCCACCACCAAGGAGCTGGCCAAGCGGCAGCGCCTGCCGTCCGTGGAGAACCGGCCCAAGATCGCCGCCTTCCTGCCTGCCCGGCAGCTCTGGAAGTGGTTCGGCAAGCCCACCCAGGTAGCCGAGGGTGGGGGTCTGCCCCTGCGTGCCCGTCCTTCCATCCCGCCCACCTGCCCAGCCCCCGCACCAGGAGGGTGGGGGTGAGCCGTGTGGGGCGATCCCACGTTATCCTCGTGGCCCGCGAGTCTCGGAGCGAGGACACCCTCTCTGCTGGGTCCGAAGCCGCGTCCTCCCCAGAGCAGTGCGGCCTGTGGTCTTGGGCCCAGACCCGCCCCCTGTGGAACACGGGCCAAAAAGCAGGCAGGGACGGCCCCCGGGGCGGGCGTCCAGTTCCCAGGCAGAGGGGCTCTCAAAACCCCACAGCCTGACTCTGTGCTGTCGCCTCGCGGCAGAACGTCCCTCGGCCTCGGGGTGACCGTGGCGGCGACCCCAGCAGGAGGCGCTGCTTTCCGCATGTTTGCCGGCAGAGGTCCGAGGCTGGACCAGCTCCCCACGCACCCACAGTGGAGCGAAGGGAGAACAATCTGGTTGCGCAGGTCTAGGGTCAGTCGGCCAGTCCTGTAGCAGAGGGTGATTCTCCAGAAAGAGCCCTCCCGGCCTACCCTGTGCCCTGTGCACACATGGATGTGCACCACACACGCACACAGGCCCCCGAGAAACTTCCGTGTGCAGGGGGGAACAGCCCCCAGGGTCACCAGTCCGTCCCGTGCCCCTGGACAGGAAGACTGGCTGCTTGTCCGGAGGTACAGCTCGACAGCTTTGTCCGCAGCGCCCGTCCCCCCAGTCCCAGGCGGTCTGTACCCCTCCCCCCTCCGGTGCCAGTTCCTGCCAGGGCAGGAATAGGGACTTGGGGGTTGACAGCGCCGAGCTGGTGGGGTCTGACAATGCACCTCCTGAGACCTTGGGAAGCTGCTGGGGGTTTATGTCGTGTCCGCTCCCTGAGGTATGTTAACAAGGCCAGAAAAGTGGGGGAGAGGTTCGGAATCGAGACCCCAGCTTGGGGGCTTCTGCCCTAGCAGTGGCTCTTGGGGGCCCCCTGTGCCAGTGCCTCTGGAGGGCTCTCCAGAAGGCGTGCGGAGCAGGGAGTCGGGGAGCGCGCAGCACCCCGCCCCCTCTCAGCTCCTGCTCTCCCCACGGCTTCCCTGCTTTGGAGGCACTAACTTGAACCTGGGGCAGATAATCTGCTTTTCTGACCCCGCGGAGCCTAAGTTGTCTGACTTTCAGCCCACGGGGGTTGCTGGCTCCTGGATGAGAAAGCCTCTTCTGGCAAGGCCACTGCTGGGGACAGCAAATTTGAGCATGTAGGATCTTCCCTGACAAGCTGCACTCAGACCTTCTCCACCAGGCCTCCTGGAGCTCTGGTCCCAGCAGGTGCTTCTGAGCTGAAGATGGGCACATCCTTGCTGTCTCCCCTCCACCGGGATTGGCTCCTGCCCTGTGTTAGCATCAGGGCCCTCACTGCTGCAGTGGACAGAGCCCAGGGCCAGACTTATTGGCCACTTTAACAGAAAAGTCCAGGGGGGTGCAGCTTCAGGTACGGCTGGATCCAGGGGTTTGGAAAGCTGTCTTCAGACCCACTGGTGGGTCCGTGCTCCAGGCTTCAGTTGCTCCTTCCTGCTTTCACACTGGTCTCCTTCCCTCTTGGCAGCAAGCAGCCCTGGTAGCTTCCAGCTCGTGTTCTACCCACTCAGAAGTGACAGGAGGGAGGAAGGATCTTTTTGCAAGGGGTTCACGCTGAAGTTGGTAGAATGTCTTTGGCTTGGGTGCCGAGCCCACCTCTGAGCCGTCACCATGCCGGGAGGAGGACCGGCAGTCCAGATTGGCCAGGCCAAGCCCGGTGCTCGCTGCAGGGGTGACATTGGCCCCACTGGGGAGCCACGTGGATTGAGGAGCAAGGGGAGTAGCCCCAGAATGCCAGAAACGTAACGGCTGTCAAAGAGGGGTTGGTGGAGAAATCATAGCCGTCCACCTCAGCTTGAATTCATCTTCAGCCTTGAGCTGAAAAGAATTTGAGCAGTTTGTAGAACGTGCAGGCGATCAGTGACAAGGACATCAAAGTCTGTCCCCATGGGGGGTCTGAGGAATTAAAAGTAGAAAAAGAGGCTCCTGGAGAAGGTTGAAACGAGCATGTAGGTCTCCCCTGTTTAGGCGAACTGGCTCGGAGTCACCTGGCTGAGTGAGTTTTAGATCTTAGTTTGAGGAGATCGCGCACCGCTTCCATGGGAGGGCTGAGCTTTGCTGAAGTCTGGTCTCTCGGGGAGTTGCCCCCAGAGCTGCCTGGGGCTGTGGTGGGTTTTGGGGTTTTGGTGTGTTCCCTCCTTGGACCTGTTTGTCTGTCCCCGTGCCAGCCCAGGAAGTGTTTGTTGAGTGACTAAGAAAAACCCAGCATGCCCTGGGCCCGGCAGATGTGGGCCTCGTGCTGGATCCTGCGGGCCGACCTTAGTCAGGGGCTTCCCCTGGGGGTTGACATGGTCCCAGGGACAGCCCTCGGCCCATGGCCCCCACTCCCTCGACCCCGGTCAGGCCACCTGGGCAGCTGACTCCCCGCCGCACGCTGCCTGTGGGGGTGTAAGAACGAGGCTGCACAGCCAATGACCTGTGGCCCCAGGGGATGTGGAATGGCTGTGTGACAGCCGTGGGGGGTGGAGCCCTGTGCTCTGTCCAGAGGCAAAGCTGGGAGCCTGCGCTGTTCCCCCACTGGACCTCACTGTCCCTGTCTGGAAGTCGGGGGTCAGGAGGGGGCTGCTGGGCCGGGCCATGCGAGCCTCGTGGACAGCAGGTGCGAGGTCTGCGGGCCCTCCCAGGGGGTCCCGTGCCAGCACCGCTTCGGGACAGGGAATGGAAGTCCCTCTTTTTTTTTTTTTTAAAAGATTTTATTTATTTATTTGAGAGAGAGAGAATGAGAGACAGAGAGCACGAGAGGGAAGAGGGTCAGAGGGAGAAGCAGACCCCCTGCTAAGCAGGAAGCCCGATGCGGGACTCGATCCCGGGACTCCAGGATCATGACCTGAGCCGAAGGCAGTTGCTTAACCAACTGAGCCACCCAGGCGCCCGGAAGTCCCTCTTATTTGTGGGTCCTTCGTGTCAGTCGGACACCATGTGGGCAAAGAGATGAAGAAGGCTCCCCAGCTGGAGCGGGCAGGGGGTCTGCTCCCTCCCAGCCCGCCCCTTGCAGACCCCCAGAGCTCGGGGATCAGGCTGCAGGCGGCAGGGCTGGCCTGGGCTGGCCTGGGGCCCCCTGACACCCCCCTCCCCCGCTCCGTGTCCCACAGCGCCGCGGCATGAAGGGCAAGGCCCGCAAGCTCTTCTACAAGGCCATCGTGCGCGGCAAGGAGATGATCCGCATCGGGGACTGCGCCGTGTTCCTGTCGGCCGGCCGCCCCAACCTGCCCTACATCGGCCGCATCCAGAGCATGTGGGAGTCGTGGGGCAGCAACATGGTGGTCCGCGTCAAGTGGTTCTACCACCCCGAGGAGACCAGCCCGGGCAAGCGCCTCCACGAGGGCCAGGTGAGGCCGGGTGGCCAGAGGTTGAGGCCGGGGTGCCTGGTTCTGGGGTCGGGTGGGGCCGTGCCAGGCTCACCAACCCCCCGTCTGTCCCACACACAGCACTGGGACCAGAAGTCCGGCCGCAGCCTGCCCGCGGCCCTGCGGGCCTCCAGCCAGAGGAAGGACTTCATGGAGGTAGGGGCACGGGGTGGAGGCTGGGCCTCTCAAGCCCTCTGCACACAGTTTGGGGGTTGGGGGAAGCTGGGCTCCAGTGGCGTCCGGCCCCCTGACCCCAGCCCCGTGTCTGGCTCTGATCTGCTGTCCGCCGTGCTTTGGGGTCCTTAGCCTGAGGGTCTCTCTGTCTTGGTCTGTGTGTCTGGCTCGGGATCTCTCGGTCTCTCCGTCGCCGGTGTGGGGGTGGAGAGCTCTTTCTCTGCCCTCAGGGCTTTCCCTGGTCCTTCTGGTCCGGGGGGTGCTCCCTGTCTCCCGCCCGCCCTGACGCCCGCCTGCCGTGCCCGCAGCGCGCCCTCTACCAGTCCTCCCACGTGGACGAGAACGACGTGCAGACCGTGTCGCACAAGTGCCTGGTGGTGGGCCTGGAGCAGTACGAGCAGATGCTCAAGACCAAGAAGTACCAGGACAGCGAGGGTCTGTACTACCTCGCGGGCACCTACGAGCCCACCACGGGCATGATCTTCTCCACCGACGGCGTGCCTGTGCTCTGCTGAGCGCCCAGCGCCCTGCCGGCCGCCTCGCGCCCCGAGGGCCAGCGGGGGCCCCTTGCCATCACTGCCACGTCTCGGGGGCCACGTGCGTTGGTTGTGTGCATGCAAGTGTGCCCTTGGACGCCCTGGCGTGCGTGTGTACACGTGTGCGCCTGTATGCATGCACCGGCGTGCACGCGTGTGCACACGTGCCCAGCCCCCTCCAAACCCCCGGTGCCCCTCCAGACGGGGCTCCTCTCAGCTATCAGGGTATGGCTCTGCTGGGCCCCCCTCCGGGGCCTCCCCTCCAGCACCTTGTAAGCACTTGGCCGGGCTGGGCCCCCAGGACCCAGGCGCCTCCAGGCCGAGGCCGAGGCCCACCGGGGATTCAGTGGGGAGGGGGTTCCCGAGGAACCAAACTGACACTCGCTCGGGGGTTCCCGCTGCTTGAGGGCCCTCCCCGGGGCTCCTAGTGCCCGAGCCCCCTCAGCACGGAGCCCACCCCAAGCCTCCCGCCATGAGACGGGGCGGGGTGGCCGGATGGATGCCCCCCAGCCTCACCGACCAGGCCAGGCCTGCTCTGGGCACCAGCCGGGGGCCCGGCCTCTGCCCTCTCAGGACGGCCTGGACTCGGGCGCGAGAGCCAGGTGAGGGTGGAGCCCGGCAGCCTCGGCCAGGTGCCAGGCAGGGGGGCTGCGGGCCCTGAGGCCCCAGGGAGGGCCCACCCCTCCCGGTCCGGCCCCTACACTACACACAACCCCAATGGTGCTGAAGTCCTTGACCCGCCATGCCCGGCCCTCCCGCCCAGGCCTCGGCCCGCCCAGAGGCAGCGGCCGTTCTTATAACCTGTATAGTTTTATTGTACCAAGAGACTCTTCCCCGCCCCTGTATCATATGCCTTTAAATGGAGTCAACTTTTTAATTATATATATAAAGATAAATATATATAAATATATATAAATATAAACTTTTTAAAACTGTGAAAAAATAGCTATGAAATTATAAAAAAAAGCGAACACATTCTGACGTGCAGAATATTTTTTATTTCCTATTAGATTGTGAGTGTCTAGCACCCAGCTTCACGGGCCCCCCTCGTCCCGAGCACACCCCGCCCCCCCGCCCCCCCGGCCCAGGTGTACTGTACTCACCCCCAGAACGGAGAAGCAGTTAGGGAGAGCAGAGGCTGAGGAGGGGGACAGGGGGCCGGCCGGGCGCAGTGGCCCCGCTCCCCCGGCTCGGCCCCGAGAGCACTTACCAGCCCCCGCGCCTTCCAGGGGGGACGGAGGCCTCGTCCAGACAATCTTAAGGGAAGGAAAAGCCAGACTTTGGTTTTGTTTTTTGGGGGAATTACTGTTTTCCTTTTTTTTTTTTAAGTTTCTTTTGGAATTTTGTTTGTTGGCGAATTCTGTGTGATTTTTTCATAAAAAAAGAAAAGAGAAAAAGCTATAATCGGAGAACTGCCGTTGTCTGGAGTGGTTCATTTCGAGGGCTGGGGCAGGGGGTGCGTGGTGCTGGCCAGCGGCTGGGGGGGCCAGGAGCGGGGCGCCGCTGCGGGGCTGTTTACACCCAGGTTAATGTGCATGAAGGGAAATGAAGAGTTCCTCAGTGGCCCTGGCCACGTCCCCAGGGGCCAACAACCAGAAGCGGCCAGTGGTTACTGTGTTGGGCGGCTGAGATACGGGATGTGTCCCCCCAGGGCCGGACGCGTTCTTGACCCGTGCGAGGCTGCAGGGCTTGCACCCCGTCTCCCCCTTGAAAATGCAGAGATCGGCACTCCCAGCCTGCGCACATCTGAAGACCACAAGAACAGGGCCAGTGCCGGTGGTCTGAGCGGGTCCTGGGCTGGTGTGGCGACGCAGGGCTGGGGGGAGGCTGGGCCCTGACCCCTGGTGCCGCCGCCCCCCTCCTGCCCTGAGGTCAGCTCTCAGGCTGACCCCACAGGTACCTGCCCAGCGACCCGCCAGGGGAAGGACCCTGATGGGCCTCCTGTTTCAGAGAAATCGAGTCACACGACAGCCGGCGGCCACTCCCACACGCAGGAGCAGTGCATGGCGCCACCTGGTGGCCCCTGTGGTATCGCCTCAAAGTCTTGGCTCCCAGGGCTGCCAGGGCACCCACCTGGGGGCCTGGGGGTGATGCCTGCCCAGTGGGTCCCGGTGGGCGGGCCCCCGAGGCCACAGGCCCGGAACACAGCCCCTCTGATGGCCAGCCCCCCCTCCCCAACCCTTCTCCAAGGGACCCACGTCAGAGTGGACCAACACCCCTGCTTGGGGAAACAAAGGCACCAAACCGTACAGGAAGTTGTTCATATCACACGAATCAACAGCACAGCCGGGACTCGAACCCAGAACCCTCACCCTCAGGTCCTGGCTCCGTCCCTGCGGGCAGGGGGCAAGCTCCGTCCCCTCTTTGTCTTCCCGTTCAAACGGATGGGATGCAGCCCTTTTCCCTGACCTGAGGGCCAAAGGAGCACCAAGGTGCCCTTCACACCCCTGATGCTTCCAGCTCCCACGCCCAGCTCGCCCCCTACCAGGTTCACGGACACCCTCCCGCTACCGGACTGGTTCACCCCTGCCCACCCCCTAGGAACTTCAGGCCACTTTGCAGATGAAAGACTGAGGTCCCAGCCATGTGGGTGGCCCCATCCCACCAGGGCCCCTTCCCCCACCACCAGGGAGCGAGGTGGCGGGGGCAGCCCCCACCCACACAGACGCTACTTGGAGGCAGCAGCTGGGCAGTTCTCTGCCTTCATCTTTTAATGGCCAGTGCGGTACAATTAGTGGACAGACGGGGGGGGGGGACAGGACACGGAGGGGTGGGGTGGTTACAGGTGTGCCATGGGTGTGGGAGGGCAGGCTGTCCTTCCCCTGGAAACGCCTGTCTTTGGCAAGATGCTGCAGAACCCCCTCAGTTCGAGGGTCCCGGCTGGGGAGGGACCCTGCACCCCTCCCTCCTCGCAGGGACTCACGTCCCTCCTTGGGCCTCAATGGATGAGGATCAAGGTCTCAGTCAAGCGGTGACTTCAGCTAGGGTGTGTCCCCTTGTGGTACCACAGGCAGATGGAGGAGCCAGAGACGTGGACAGGGGTCCCCAGGCAGGTGCAGACCCCCAGGCCTGTGGTGTCAGGTGGGTGCCTGGGTACTTGGGGGGGTCTCGGTGTGGGGTGGGGGCACCCAGGCCGGCGCCGAAGCTATGGTCGTAGACCACGGTCTGAGGCCATTCAGACCCCGGGCTACGGTTCCTTCGTGGCAAGTGCATTTGTTTGGGAGAATCAGTGTTTAAGAACCTGGGGAGGGGAGAGGCTCGCTCCTTGAGGACCTCTTATGTCCGTGAGGAGGGCTCCCTGGTGGAGGAGGGCTCCCTGGTGGAGGAGGGCTCCCTGGTGGAGGAGGGCTGGGGTCGGGGGCCACGGATGGGGGTGGTCCTCTCCTGGCCGGGGAGGGCTGTGACCCTGGGGGCCACCGCACACAGGGGGTGAAGGGCAGGCACGGGACAGAACGGGGAGCACAGTGCTGGGCGGCCCCGGGTGGCCGACGGCTCAGCAGAACCCTGGGGCCAGAGTGACAGGAGGCGTGACTGGCACGAGGAGGCGGCCGGGGCCCCACAGGCACTGCAGGCAGGGGCGGGGGGGGGCCTCGGGCCTCGGGGGGCAGGGGGGTGCCCGGGCCTGGTTCAGAGGCCAGCGGGGAAGGAGGAGTTGGTGGAGGTGTGGAAACAGCTGCTGGGGGCGTCCCGGGTGAGGCTGTAGGTGCAGTAGGCCACGGCGGAGCCCAGCGTCAGCCCCGTCATGTAGGACACGGTCATGGTGTTCCCTGCGGGCGACACTGGACCTGAGGCGGCAGGCAGGGCAGGGCAAGGCAGCGGGGGGCGCTCAGAGGACCACCCTGGCGGCATTGACACCGGGCCGGAGTCCCCGCCGCGGCTCTTCGGGCATGGAGCAGTGACCACGGCCCGCCCCCCAGGGAGGCGGCCATCCAGGGACCGTTACGCCCGCGGTGAACTCATGGGGTGCCCCAGGCCTTGCCTGCTTCTCTGTCTCCAGCCCCCCATCTCCACGTGCTTCCTTTTCATGGACAATCCGGGACGTCTAAGGGCTTCTTGAACTGCTGTGCCCAGAACACACTCCAGGGCCCCATCCCCCAACCCCCCTCCCATCTCAGTGGACAGCGATCTCGGGACAGCCCCAACCCGGGGACTCCTTCTCGACCCCCGATCCCTGTCTCACACCCGGTCTCTCAATCCACCCGCCGGCCCTGTGGGCTCTACCATCAAACAAACATTCGGGTCCTGCCCCTCCTCGGGCCTCCCACCCCTACCCTGGCACCCGCCCCCCCCACCGCGGGCTCTGCCGTGGGCTTTCGCGAGGGCTATTCCCTTGCATTGCCCCCGGGCTGGCTCCCTCATCACTTCCTCTAGGTCTCTGCTAGAAGTCACCTCCTCGGGGAGGCCTTCCCAGACTGTCCCGTTTACATTGCAAACTCCCCATCCCGACGACCCCATCCCATTTCTCTGCTTGGTTTTTCTCCGTCATACTTACCACCACTCAATGCGCTACACGACCCCACAAGCGCAGGGACCATTGCCCCATGCCCCTGGCGCCTAGAACAGGGCCTGGCACGCAGTCGGGGCTCACCGAGCAGTTGTGGGATGCATGAGGGAATAAGGGAATGTGCCGCCCCTGTGAGCTCCCTGAGGCGGACTTGACTCTGCAACCCAGACGCACCTGTTGGCTACGTGGCAGTGGTTTTTGTGGGCCTCCGGGCCTTACCTGCCAGCTCGCGTTGCTTGGGGCTCACTTTGCCCGCCGCCAGGATCATGGGCACGCTGCCGAAGTAGCCGTTGCTGATGCCCATGAGCAGAGAGAAGACGCAGGGCCAGGCCGGGTGGCGCAGGGCGGGCGTGCCACTGGGGTAGACGCACAGGATGAAGAGGGGGATGAAGACCACCCGCAGGCAGGAGCAGGCCAGCAGGTGGGTGCCCCGCCAGTCCATGGGGAGAGCCGCCAGGATCTGCGGGGAGCCGGGCGCGTTGGCTCCCCGTCTCTCCCGAGCCCACTGCCCCTCCAGTCCCTACTGCAGCCCCCTGTCCCCAGACGCTCCCAGCTCCGGGTGTGTCCCTGTCCTTTGTCAGCCTTGACCAGTAAATCCACCAAATCCCTGTGACAGCAACACACGGTCCTTGCTGCGTGCCTGGCGTCCATCTGAACACGGCACGGGACCCCCCCCCCACCCCGTTCAATCCTTACCACACCCTCCCAGGATGGGCTCCTGACCCTGCTTGAGAAATGAGGCCCTCGAGGCTGCGAGGGTCAGGTTCACCTGCAACAGTTCTTGAAGCAGGAAGTAGCAGGATTGGGGGTCGAGCCCACTAACTAAGCCTTGCTCCCTCGTGAACCAGACTTGTTTCCCAGACCGCTCTGCTGTGTGACCTCGGGCAGAGGGCTTTCCCTCTCTGAGCCTCACATTCTTCGTTCACCTGAAGAAGGCCCATGTCAGGCCTGCCCCAGAGACGGCGGCCTGGATCTTACTCCAGCCGGAACTCCTGACCCTGTGCTTGTAGCCCAGGGCACTCTGCCCACGTTCTCCTGGCCCCTTTGAGGTGCCTGCTCCCTGGGAGTACCCCCTGTGCTGTCTATGGAGACCTGCCCCAGAGGCCCGTTAGCTCCAGGGCACAGACACGAGGAGGATGCTGGCGCCAGCCCTGTGGGAACGGCCCACAGTTGGGAGCTGCCCTGCAGGGTCGCTGGGGCCGCCCGCGGGGGGATGGCGCTGTGGCTCGGCTGCCCCCCTCCCCGCTGGTGTCCTCAGCTCAGGGCCTGCCCCTCCCCACGCCCCTCCCCAGGGCTCCCGAAGGGCCCGCCCCCGCGGTGCCCCGTCTTCCCCCAGGGGCCGGGAGGGGCTGCAGGCCTGCCTTGCCCACGAAGTCGGAGAGGTTGAACACGGCCATGATGAGGATGGGCAGCCACTCGCCCAGGACGCAGTGGCGGACCTCGGACTCGAGACCCGGGAACAGGCACAGTGTGATGAAGTAGGTCACGGCGATGGAGAGCATGTCGGCCCAGATGGCGCGGGCCACGGCATAGCGGTGCAGCAACAGGGCTGTGGGCGGAGGGCCAGGGCTCAGGGGTCAGCGCCCGCGTGGGCCCCCGGGGCAGGGGTGCCACCCGCAATGCCCAGAGGACCGCCCTGCCCGCCGCATCCCCCACCCCCACCTCTGAAGGAGGGCCAGCTCCGCGTCACTCTCGGCTGAGGCACATCAAAGCGCGTGTAGGCGCCCCCACCGCCGGTCACCTCGTGGGCCGGGCTGTCCTTCGGGGACCCGCCGTCGGCCAGGCCTGGGCCTTGGTGCTCCTGGAGGGAGGACGGGGCGGTCGGGTGTGGGTGGGGAGGGGCCCTCCAGGCTCCCTGCCCGCCCTCCCATCCCCCACGGCCCCTCAAACACAGAGCTCCCTCCAGCCCCCGAGCCTTTGCACTTGCTTTTCCCTGGACCCTTCACATCTCCCGACCACTCGGGTCAGGTTTCCGCCCAGAGGCCGCTTCTTGGGGAACCTCCCTGACCACTGAGGGGCCCTGTCCCCACTGCAGGCCTTGTCCCAGCACTGTGACACGGCAGGGCCCTGGGCGGCCCCTCTGGGAGGACTTCGCTGCTGAGGACACCGAGGGGCGCAGGGGGCTCCTCCCGCCCGGCGCCCCGGGGTCATCCCTCAGGCTCCAGGGGCCGCCCCACCCGCCGCCACGCTGTCCCTCCGGGGCCGTGCAGCCCTGCTGCCACCAGAGGGCGCCCCGCCCCCCAGGATGGCTCTGGCCGGCCCGCAGGGCCTCAAGCCGCACGCGCGCGGAGTTAAGAGCCTGGGGCCACAGGTGGAAGGGGGCCCGCGGGAAGGAGCCCCAGACCACAGCGTGACGGAGGCCACGGCCGGAGGAGCCGGGCCGGGACCTGGCAGGGGCAGCGCGCGGCAGACTCACAAAGTGGATGTCGCCCGCGGCGACGTCGTGGTGCACACGGTAGCCGGCTCTGCAGCCCGGACGGTTGTCGCGGGGCCGCGTGGTGTGCGAGAGCACGAAACGGCTGCGGCGCACCAGCAGGTGCAGCAGGAAGCAGAGCAGCTCCAGGCCCGCGGACACCAGGAAGAAGATGAGCGTGCTGGCCCGCTCGTCCGGCAGCAGCAGCTTGGTGAGGATGCGGCTCAGGGACACCATCACGCCCGCCGTGCCTGGAGTGGGGAGGGTGCCGTGCTGGGCCTGGGCCCCAGCGCCCACTCGGC